TATACAGAGGAATTGTTAAAGACCAAATATAAAGACATGTATTTGATAGAAAAGGTTATTAGGAGAAAAGGTGATTTATTATATGTCAAATGGCTTGGGTTCCCAAGTAGCCAGAATTCATGGATTTCCACTAAGGATGTCCAAGGGAGCGCGCCATGAGCCGGGAGCACGCACGAGTTCGCGTACAAACCTCGCACTGTCAAGTTGATGATTTTGAGAATATACATGTGAATGCATGTGGATTTGAAATAGTAATGAAGTTATACAGGGTGTTCATTTGAAAACTTTCCATATCTGTTGTGTGCAAAGGTAAGGCTTTTAACACTTGTTTGTTCTCATTTACCCCTAATTTGGACATGCCAAATCCAATAAAATTATTTTCAATTTTGAAAAATGCCCCAAAAGGGCCCAATTTGGGGGGTAGGGGTGCTTTTTGAGAAATTTTCAAATGTAAACATGGGTTGTGTGATACATCAATTTAAAGGTCTAATCACCCCGATCATTTTGGTGCAAAAAAAGTTTAATTATCTTTAACTGTATTTACAGGGTGGGTCAAAACGTATTAAAAAAGGACTTTGAAGTTAAGTACCGTATTACCCTAACTACTGAACGGAACAGCGCCAAATTTCTTTCCAAACTTATTCTTGAGCTACTCTTTAAGATAACTTGTAGTAAGGGTATTTTCCAAGTTATTTTCTAATTTTTAAAAAATCCCAAATTTTAAGAATAAAAGAAAGCTGAAAGCTCAAAATTCTTAAATAGCAAGGTATAACAAATTTCATACCACGTGAAAGGTCCTTTTTTAACAAACATTTTACGTATTTAAGTTTTCTTTCTATCTCTTACCGTTTAAAAATTGCAGTAGAAAAACATAATTTTCTATGGTAAAATTGTAACTAGTTTTCTAATAAAACAGCCAAAATTCGTCAATAGACACATTAAATGGTGCAATAACTGAAGGAAACAATTCATAATTATTTTTAGGCGGATAGGCAAATACGTTTTACTTTGTGAAAAACAAGTTTTATAGCTGATGAGAAAAACCCAAGCGTGGGCCGCTTTCTGTAGTACCATTGACTAGTCAATGGTAGTATTAATTTCAAAAGTACCATTTCCTGTCGTACCTAATCAAATATGGTGTAAACTTAAAAAAATAGACTTTATTTTACTTATTGGTCATAACAAAAGTGTTCCAGGATAACTGCAAAGTGTAACAATAGATATCCAGGTAAGACCTTGAGTCATATGGCTGTAAATGATTTAGTTAGGAAGTTTTCTGAAACTGGCTCAGTTACCAATGAGAAAAGAACAGGATGAGGGGTCCAAGATGAATTCTGACACACGTAAAAGTAGTCGATCAATTTGTTATGAATCCTACTACATCGTTGAACAAAGTGCAATGTGTTTTATTAGAAAACTAGTTACAATTTTACCATAGAAAATTATGTTTTCCTACTGTAATTTTTAAACGGTAAGAGATAGAAAGAAAACTTAAATACGTAAAATGTTTGTTAAAAAAGGACCTTTCACGTGGTATGAAATTTGTTATACCTTGCTATTTAAGAATTTTGAGTTTTCAGCTTTCTTTTATTCTTAAAATTTGGGATTTTTTTAAAATTAGAAAATAACTTGGAAAATACCCTTACTACAAGTTATCTTAAAGGGTAGCTCAAGAATAAGCTTGGAAAGAAATTTGGCGCTGTTCCGTTCAGTAGTTAGGGTAATACGGTACTTAACTTCTAAGTCCTTTTTTAAAACGTTTTGACCCACCCTGTAAATACGGTTAAAGATAATTAAACTTTTTTTGCACCAAAATGATTGGGGTGATTAGACCTTTAAATTGATGTATCACACAACCCATGTTTACATTTGAAAATTTCTCAAAAAGCACCCCTACCCCCCGAATTGGGCCCTTTTGGGGCATTTTTCAAAATTGAAAATAATTTTATTGGATTTGGCATGTCCAAATTAGGGGGAAATGAGAACAAACAAATGTTAAAAGCCTTACCTTTGCACACAACAGATATGGAAAGTTTTCAAATGAACACCCTGTACAATGGTATTGATCATTTATATAGGCTTGTATTGGTCGAGAGCTGGATTTTTAAAAAAGTGGTCAAAAAAAGCTCACCATGTTATTCTTATGGGGAAAACGTGCCTAAAGTGATGTCATATTGCTAGTTCGCCACTACTTTAGTCAAAGAATCGTTTAAAAAGTACATTACCGTATAGGACACAGAAAAAGGGAAGAACAATAAGATTAATATCATTGAGCATAATTTACTACAAAATGAAAACAACCAATAATTATGGTCGCCGGAATAAGGCTGAAACACCTTTGACTTTAAATAATCTAAATATCCATTACATTTTAACCAAATATAAGCCTACCATTGAGTTATATTTCCATTTAACTTGCAATTCCAAGTAGGCTTTCCATTTCAGTGAACTAGACTTAAAATTAAATAATGCAGACTTAGGCAGAATAGGTACTGCAAGAATTAGGACTTCCATTAATATGAACCGAAGATGCCACTGAGTTTAGATGCTGCAAGTAGACATTCCATTGACGTGAACCAGACGTAACCATTGACTTAATATACTGCGAATCGGCACTCCGTTTATGGGAATCAAATTAACCATTTCTTTGGATCCTGCAAGTAGACAATTTATTTATGTGAACGATATGTACCATTGAGTTTGTATACTTCAAGTAAACAATTCGTTTAAGTGAACCCGACGTATCATTGACTTTGGATGCTGCAAATAGGCATCTTATTTATGTGAACCAAATGGACCATTGACATTGGATACTGCAAGTAAATTTCTCATTTTTGTGAAGCTGGTGTACTATTGATTTAGGATACTGCTACTGCAAATAGACATTTAATTTATGAGAACCAGATGAAACATATATACTTTGAAGTAGACAATACATTTAATTGAACCAGACTTGTAATTGACTTTGAATAACGAAATTAGACATTTCATTCATTTGAAACAAAATATATACTAATGAGATTGGATACTGCAAGTATGCATTTCATTTACGAGAAACATATGTAACATTGACTTTAGAAAATTATTTGATTATTATGTCTGCTATCTGCTCAATATTGCAAGCAGACAACTGCATTGTACACCTAGTGTAAATTACCTGAAATGTAAAGTTAAAACTGCGAACGTTTCTCATCCAAAGTCCCCGTGCGATCTCTAGTGTTCACTTGGTAATACATGGGTATTTCAAAGTATAGGGTGTTTTCAACTCCCCACGTGAGTGTTAACGTTTCGTAAAAAGTACAAGTTCCTGTATAAGGTAATGTTTTTTCTTTTTGCGAAAGACTCTAAAAGTAATGAAAGGACATTTTTTATTTACATTTGTTTCGATAACAAACAAGTGTTTTTGACATATAAATAAATTTGTTTGCACAAAACTTGTGTGTATTACGATCCCCCCCCCCTAAAAACAGTTTTTTAGTAGTACATTTTAGGAAAAAATAATACTTTTACCATTCACAGACATAATATAATCTTTTAAAAATTATATATTTTCCGGATAGTACATATGCTAGTTATTCAATATCAAACAGTTCAATGACAAAATACATATTTTTTAATACAACAAATGGTTTATATGCAAAAGTTGACCAAATACACACACAAATTGCAGTTGGTAAAAGAAATATATTATTTACATTGTATAACTTAAAATAAATAACTCTTTCATATTGGAAACAGTATACAGTAAAACAAACTTAAATAACAACAAAAAATGTTATTTACCAAAATTATTAGTGTTAATACAATTATAACAAATATGTAATAACGAGGTGTCAAAAACACCCCACGCGAGTACATACGTTAGTAAAACCCGCGCGAGTAGTTAAAGGTTAAAGTCCCTTTAGCATAGAAGTAAGAAGTATAGCAATTAATTAATCTGTAAGTATATAACAAAATTACATAATCGTTTGACAGGCGACGGTAGGTATATAGATACTGTACAATGATGCGGCAACGGCTGCTGACAGTATTACAGCGGAGCGGACAGCGCAGGAACTTGTGGCGCTGACTGTACTACACATTCCACTTGGAGATATGAGACTCCACTCAACTTTTGGAGTTATGAGACTCTGGTTTAATTTTTACTTGGACTTATGAAACTTTGGAGTTATGATCACTTGGACTTATGAAACTTTGGAGTTATGATCACTTGCGCTTATATTTTTCTTGGAGTAATGAAATTATCCCTTTTCGGGTACTTGTAGCTGTGAAACTTTGGATTAAATTTAATTTGGAGTTATGATCTCTTGGACTTATGAAACTTTGGAGTTATGATCACTTGAAGTTGTGAAACCTTGGAGTTATGAGATGATCCCTTTTAAAGGGCATAAGATATTTACGGTTTAAAAATGTCAACCAACAAATAACGTTCCTGCACTAAAACTGGCGTTATAATTCTCTATAATTAGAAGTCTAGCATCTCCAGGTTTAATTAAAAGTCAAGAGAGGTAAGAACAAAAGCCAATCCGACCCCGTCTGACAACAAGAACTAAACATTTCTTTTGTTCTTCGTTCAATGGGGAAATTACCTTATTATCGCATAATCCAAGACTCCAAATATTTGAGTAATAAAGAATTTTGTATCAAATGAGCCAGAGGGATGGATATTTTGCGTTCATAATTTGGCAATTCGCTCCATTAAATCGTCTTTATATTGTTTTTTTTTCCATTAGCTTAATTAAAGAGCTTTTATTAAAGCAAAATAACTTATATCTTGTGGTTCATATTAACAAAGATAATTTAATTAAGATATAACTGTAGTGTAAGGGGACAAGAATGAAAAATAATCTTTTATTGGTCGATAGCGACCTATGATATTGTAGGCCTACACAATGTTTGTAATCATATTACAGCTAAATAAAATATAAGAGCTCTAATTTGTATTATGGAGTCAACGCATATATTTAATTCCTCCTCCTTTTCTCTATGTTGTGTTTAAGGAGTGCCGTTGCTGGTCGTCCTGTGTAACCACATCGCCCAAACCACCACAGATTCCCCACTACACTCATGGTGGCTCACTCACGGCTCCATGGTGTACTACACGTGTTCTACTTACATCGTGTTTCTATTATCCTCCTTCGTGTTTCTGTTCTACCTTGTGACCAAGAGACTGAGGAGTCTTACAGTTGGCAAGAGCTCTGATACAAATAAAGCAATACTAAGGAGGTAAATACATTAGGTGTCAAAGAATCTCTTTGTAGTTTCATTGTTAGTTAAAGTGTATATTTTTAAGTTTGAAAAATCTTAAATTCTTCCATTAGTGTGATTTCTATTTTTTGTAATATGAATTAAATGAAATATAATAATGAGCTTGACCGATCACTTGCGTTTTTTACTTTCTAAAATTCTAAACATTTCTCTAACCATTAATCGTGCCTGTTAAGTGCTTAACTCTTTATTTTTTGTAATAATGTTGGTTATTCTACAACTCTTATCCTGGCCTTAAAGTGAATACATAATACAACCAAACTAGTGTAGCTTTAAAAGTATAAAATAACATTTATGAGTGATATTTATATTTTGGCCCTTTGGTTGTCTGGTCACTCTAGTTACTAACTCCTTCCTATTGGTTGCAGACAGGGTTTGTTGAACCGCGCCGCTGTAGTACTGAGTGCAACGGTTGTCATGACTGCCTCCAGTTTCATCTACGTCAACGAACCCTCCACGAGAGCTCAATACCTGTTCAGCTTTACTAGTGCCTTATTGGTAAGATTTTCATAACCAGCCCTCGCCTTAAAAGAGTAGGATATATCTTATAATGTTACGATAGAATAATTTTAATTGGCTTGTTCGGTTAAGTGATCCGTGTTAGAACTTCACTGCTACAGTTTTGGGCAACTAGTTGTAGTGTATACAATAATGTACCATTATGTTGCCATTTTTACGATATTTAGATTTGTGTTATATTGAGTTGGCAATATGTTTTGCATTTGTGTCCTGACTGCGATCAGGCGACTGTGACGTCATATCATATGATTTCAATAAAGCTCCCGAATTGGCTACAACCCATCACGCCACTTTTCCCTCCACGTTTAACCGCCAATCCAAAAGTTTCCTTACTCTCCAGTCCTCAAGATTCCAGCAAACCGTAAACATGTAGTCGGCCGGGTTTTATTTAATTCCCCAAATGGTGTTTTTATTTCAATCAATGCACCCCAAACGTTCCACTAGTGTCCATTTTAAAGTGTATCTCTAGTCAAGATGAAGCAATAAAACACATTTCAGCTTACATTCAGTGAATTGCACTATGGCTATTGCACTATGGAATTTTAGGAATGAATTTGATTTTATTCTCTTAATACAAAGTCGTCCCAATAAGGGAGTATGTTTTATCTATAGACGTACTACGCCAACCAAGTCGTAACCGGGCTGCGTATCTAAGTTGAAACTAACTAAGGATAAGTGTTAAATTAACTGTGTAAACTTAGTGACTGACTGAGATCAGCTGGTCTGACAGCCTGAACGTGTTATTATAAGCCTAATGATGAAGGAAAGCTAAGTCTACTTTTCACTAATAACGCTACTTACCTTTCATTGTACAATGTACTTTATCACATTACTGTACTTGTATACACGCTTATGTTGCAGGGGTTTACCATCCTCATGTGCTACGTGTTGCACTGCGAATCCCCGTTACATCTCAACTTGCTCAGAGTTCTTCAACTTGATAATTCCTTCAGTTCCGAGTCTGACAGCAGCCCCCTCAATAGTGAGTTAACACTTTCTGATGATATTATTTTACCCAACCATTCAAAAAAATGTCTATTCTCACCTCTCAAATCACTATTTCACAGTAAACTATATTAGCAAAGAATGTATTTATAACATTAATTAGTTTAATTACTTGTAGTATTTATCTTTTTCACTAAAGATTGAATTAAAATAAGTAGTTATTTCTTGTAATTCAATAGAACAGAGGTATCTAACCTACGGCACGCGAACAGACTCTATACAGCTCCCGCTAAGGCCTAACTGAGAAATAATGATTTCTATATGGTGGTATACTCCGATGATCGTCAAAGTCGCGGAAACACTCGCGAGCGTATCTTGCGAAACTGTGATCGTCTCTTGCAATCGCAGCAACACTTGTAAGTATATTTGCGGTCTCAGTGATATTGTGATCGGCAGTCACGATCGCTGCAGCATTCGTGAGCATATCTTGCGGCCTCGGCAGAACCATGATTGTCTTCCACGATCACTACTACACTGTAAACATCTCTTGCAGTATCAGTAATACTGCGATAATCTCCAGTGATTGTGATTTACTTATCATGTCAAAAGAGAATAAATTGAATGCCGACAATGAATTAATTCATATTGGCTATTGTTTATCATTTTAATCCCTGATCCATACCAGAATTCAAGTTCCTACAATTCTCAGTGCCTAGGTTGGCTGGGCACCCTGTTTAAATTTTTGTGTAGTACACCTAACATCAGAGAACTGGCTTTATAAGCATGTGCCAAATAATCAAGCTATCTAAATACCGATCTTCCACATTAGATGAGCCTTCGAAATCAATCCTAAAGATCAGGACGACAAATTTATTTACCCTTATTGCCCTTAAAGTGGCAAATGCAAAATTGCCTCTTACATTAAACAACTGGGGGGAACAGGGCGTAAATTAAAGGTCTCGATCCCTTGAGGGCGGGATAAATAGTGAAATTCCCAAAATTGTAACAGAAAATTAGATTTAACGTAAAATGCTCTTCATAAGAAGGGTATTAGAAGCCATTTACTGTTAGTTTTTAACTTCAATACAGCTGATTGTGATTTATCGCTAAGCCAGTACGCAATATTAACATTTGGATTCACTTAACAGCATTATTTACTTATTTAACAGCATTGTTCTTTTTTTACTTTGCAACATGGGTAACGGATAATGAGGTTCAAGGATTGAGAGAAAAGAAGCAAAATTCAGGCCAATTAATTTGTTAATGAGTTGTGCAATTAGTGTTTGGTACAATGATTTGTTGCATGACTGTCAGTAGCAACGAGAGGTTATAAACGAAAGCATAAACTCTCTTAGAAGTTATGAGTAGTGATTGTTAGTAATAAAAAAACTACCGTAGGTAAGGTGGTGTAGGCCTACGCAATTCGCGTAAATAGAGTTAACGAAGCTCTTCCTGTGACGTTAATACTGGTGTCCCAGAAAGGAATGCACTTTTATTTTGGGGAAAGCCGAATGTCCAAGAGAGATAAGATAAGGAGCTTATCGGGGCCTTGCAGCTATGCCCGTGGAAAATAATTTGCCATAAATCACTTAACCGGTGAGCAGCGTGCTTTCTGTGTACGCGAATATTACCAAATGCTTTCTTATGTGACAATTTAACGATACTTCTGCGCTTGCCTCCATGGTCTCAACCAAATGCCATCAGTGAACATAATCAAATGCTGGGTGCACACATTTCAAACTACAGGATCAACTATGAACCCTCATCCTATCGGTTGGCATAGAGAAGTGCATTATGAACTAAATATCGAGCGTATTAAAAAATTGGGCTGTATTTCTTTGAGGATAACCAAGGGAACACTGTGACAGTTAATTCCCAGCGCTACGTAACAATGATTAATGACCATTTACAGCCGTTCTTGCAGACGTTACCTCGGGCTAACAGGCAAAGATATTGGTTTAAACAGGACGGAGCTACGTGTCATACAGCAGAAGACTCCATGACTCCAATAAGGCCGCTGTTTCGTGGGAAAGTCATTCCAAGATTTGGTGATACAAACTTTCATTCGAGAATCCCAGACCTAACTCCACTAGACATTTTTGGGGGTATCTAAAAAGTTGGATGTACAAAAACGCTCCTGCTACCCAACGTCATCTGGACAAAATATTCGTGAGGAAACTGAAGCTATCCCACCAGAACTCTGCCATCGAGTCTTCGCAGATGTAAGGTTTCGTTTGGCGGAGTGCCGGCGCCGGAGGGGTCTACATCTGGATGATGTATTCTTTCACAAGTAATTTTCTTAAGAAATTACTTAGAATTAACGTATTTAATTAATGTTTGTATTCTTGCAGAAAAAATGCTGTAAATAATACCATTTTTCTGTTTTCTTCGTTTTTAAAGTGCATTCCTTTCTTGGACACCTAGTACTATTTTTATGTGAACGTTGTGTAAACTACTACATCCTACACTTTTTTTGTAAATTTACTATTATTTTTTATTTCGGATTTATTGTAGTGTTTTATCAATATTTTGTATGATGTAGAATAACCTCATCGGCCACTCTTAGAAAATAACCTGGGAATAAATAATAATATTTATTATTATTAATATTATTATTATTACACTCTATGGCAGTACCAAGCTTAGACTGGTTAAATTTGGACTCCTTATTAATTAACTAATTTTTAATTAATTTATTCAAATATAAATGTTTTAATACATCAAGAAATGCATTAAGATCCTATTGGAACAAGATAAGTAAATAGATTTGTCTTAAAAAGTGAAATAATAAATATTCAAGCAACACCTTCAGTTCCATGTGAGTTTTAGGTTAGGTTTGGAGCTAAAATTATAGGACTGAATATAATAAATACATACAAAGTAAATTATTTCCTCAGTAAATAGACTAACATAATAAATAAAAGCTCTTAAATATAAATATCTTAATAAATAGCAATCATGGCTTGTCCTGGGTGTGATAAAGACTTACCTACTGATGGGGACTATGTGACATGTGGTAGATGTAAAGAAGATATGCACTATACCTGTTCAGGTGTCTCTAAAAACACTTGGAAAGGTAAGAGTATCCAAAGGAAAGCAGAATGGGAATGCTCTACATGTAGAAATAATGGAACTAGAGGGCGCTTGTTAAGCTGTGATAAAGATGAACCGACAGATCCAACTTTTTTGGCGTTAAAAAAACTCCTTGAGAAAATGTTTAATAAGCAGGAGAAAGTAATTCTAGAGAAGATTGACGACATAAAGAATTCAATAAAGGGCTTAGAGGAAAAAATTAGCGATGTCACCGAAGATGTCAACAGCCTGAAGAAAGAAACGTTAGAGCTACGTGAAGACCTAGAAAAAGTAAAGCTAACTTTGGAATGTGAACAACAATATGGAAGATCCAAGAACTTTATCATCACTAGCATTCCTCCCACTAAGGAAGAAGATGTCAGTGGAAAAGTCGTACAACTGCTGAGGGCTCTCGACATTGACATCAAAAAAGAGGAATTCACGGCTCACCGACTACCTTCAAAGGACCAGACACCACCTATCTTTGTGCAGTGTAGTACAAGAGCAAAAAGAGACAGCATAGTACATAAGGCTAGGAAAGAAAAACCACAGTTGTCATTGATAACTTCGGAATATCCAGACAGAGCTATCTACTTTAACGACCATCTAACACCGTACTTCTCAAACCTAATGAAGGAAGCAAACGTTTTGAAAAAGAGTAAGGGGTACGAATATCTGTGGATGAATGGAAACAAAATAATGGCAAAAAAACATAAAGATGCAAAAGCAATTCAAATTATTAAAAAGGCAGACCTTAACAAAATTGTATAGGCCTAGTCAAATAGGATCTTAAGTCACATAACATAATAAAGGCTAACTATCAATTTTTTTTTTATTTCTCTCTATTTCTAAATTCAATCAATCGATTAAAAATTTTTCAGATTGAAGAAAATGAGTATGTCAACAACGAGAACTTTTTGTCATTTGCAGGTTGGGACCAAAATGTGAATTTTTTTACTCACAAAGTAAATGAAAGGGAAATGTTAATTTTATGTATTAATATAAGAAGTATAAGGAAAAATTGGGATTTGTTGTTGTTAGAATGTAAAAATGTTTTAAAATATACAGATGTGCTAGTTTTAAGTTAAGTAAATGTAACGGCTGAAGAAGGTAGTATGTATGGAATCCCAGGGTACAAAACTGTGATGAAATGTAGACCGTCAGGAAATGGGGGAGGTATTATGATCTTTTATAAGAAAACAATTAAAGTAGAGGTATTAGATGTGAATTTTAACTCTGCAGAGGTATTAATCATTAAAACTTTCCTATTGAATAAAAGTATAACTATTGCTGCCTTCTACAGACCACCGAGCCTAAATGTTAATGATTTCAATTGTGAACTTGAAAATTTCTTATCATCAGAGAAATTGAAAAATGAGGCAAATTTAGTACACTACCACTAGATTTAAGATCAATAGCAAGTAAGAACGAAGTTAAAGTTAAACTAAAGAATTATTTTATAGAAAATCCATAGCCACTACCCAGCACATTGATTATTACAGTAGCCTAGTTAGTTAGTATACTTACATTAGTTAGTCACAATGAACAAAAAATGTTAGTATCACATAAGAGAACACGACAACATAAACTGGGGGGACTATAGGCTAATATTATAGGACTTGGTATTTATTTATTTTAATTTTATCAACATTTTCATGTATAATGTAGTCATTAACCAAGCATGAGTTGAGGAATGAAGATTTGAGCTACATAACCTCACTTTTTACTTCCATCTATTTTGATCTGGACTGGACTGGAATGGATTATTGGTATTGCTTTTTTTCCCAAAGTGAGGAGACAGGATAGGGGAAATATTGTTAGTTTTTATTCATAAAGTCTTTTGGTATTGTAAAATGCTAATCACTCGTTGTTTTATGAGTATTTTATGAGTATGAGTATTATTGTGTTTGATTGTCTCATGTATATGTAAACTTACACATGATATGGAATGGTGAAACTGGGTGA